TAAAATTAAAAAAACACTGAGTGAGCAAACATTTGTGAGATAGCTAGTTATAATGGTAATTAAATAATGTTTACATATGTATAAAAGCCTACATTAAAATTTGTCAAATAAATTGGTCTCTTCATTAGAAATTAGCCTACTGATTGCCACCATTGATGGACAAATTTTTTTAATAATATTAAAAATATCTGTATGACATTATATTCTGCAGTTCTTCCCTGTTGTACTGAATATCTATACTTTTCAAATTATCATATTGAAGTTAGAAATTCAAATATTGTGACAAAATTAATTTTTTTAGGGTGCCACAAGTTTGTTAAAATTTCCAAAGGGAGCATTCTTTGTATGCGCATGGGGGTTGAGAGCAGTGGCGGTTCGTGGGTTTTAAAATAGAGGAGGCACACTAATTGTAACGTTATTGGTTATTGTAACGTTTGGGATCCCTGCCGATTATAATTATTATATTATTTGCTTAACCACTTTAAAATGGCCTTTTGGTTGCTTTTAGTAAGAAAACGTAAAGAAAAGGACATGCATACAGCAATATAATATAACTTCACTTACCTGGCCTATCACTTGAAGCAAACATCCATCCCTTCTTAAAAGTCTGTGTTAAAAGAGAGCTGCCTGTTGCGCCATTTAAATAAGCCCCGACTGCTGTAGCCTATATCCAGCTTAGGCTGTTTTCCCTAAATTTGTACTGTTTGAATGACAGCTTGGTAAATCTGTTGGCAATCAAATATTCAATATCGCTACTCATCATAACTACTAGGTACATTATCAGCGCAGCGGCAGATGTTCAAACTAAAATCACGTAATTTACGTCTCTGTGATGATTGGTTGATATCAGAAGGAGGCTAGCCTCCCTTGCGAGGGTTCTTTTCTCAACACTCCTCAGGGCTGAAAGTGAACACTCGATGCTGATTGGCTAATTTTTACCAACGGAGGCACGAGAGCTCCGCGCTCCCCTGGCCTCCCTCTCCCCTTCTCTAACATTAGCGGTTGTAATTACATCAGCAGATTCGGCACATTCACAATAGAAAAGCGGTGCTTTCACGTTATGATATTACAACTGTGATGAACTGAAATGAATTGTGAATTTTATTAACATTAAATCGTCCTCCTCCCATTTTCACCTCAAAATTATGGGGAGGCTGTGCCTCCCCTGCCTCCCCCGACGAGCCACCACTGGTTGAGAGAAGTGGCTTCTTATAAATATCTTCAAGAGGCCATTGTACACTGTGGTCATTGTACACTATGACATGGTTTCCAAAGATGAAATTGTGAAACTTTGTACAGGCGTGACCTATTGAGAGCATCTCCTTCTCAATTTGCACGTAGCGTGTTTCTGTGTCCGTCAGCGATCGAGATGAGAAGGCAACTGGATGATCTTCCTGCAGTAGGACAGCACCCAAGCCGCTGCTGCTGACATCACAGAAAATTTCGACAGGCTTAGACGGATCAAAGAATTTTAGCACTGGGGACTGTGTGCATATGTCTTTCAATTTGTCAAAGACTTGTTGCTGTGCCGGCTGTCATGCATACTCGACATCAGTCTTTAGAAGCTGTCGCAGAGGTGCATCCACCTCACTGAGATTTGGCAAGAACTTTGACAAGTAGGTAACAAAGCCTAGGAAGCGACGGACACCATCCTTGTTTGCTGGCAGTGGCATGGACTTAACAGCTTCGATTTTAGCTGGGTCTGCCTTTAGACCCTCAGCTGTTATTAGGTGTCCTACATATGGCACAGAAGATTGCTTGATGTGGCATTTGTCGAAGTTGAGGCTCAGATTGTAACTTGTGGCTCTCTGAATTACTTTATGGAGGATCGCATCATGCTCCTTCTCTGTGGGTGCTGCTATCAGGATGTCATCCATAATGCTTATCGCACCACTGATCCCCTCAAGCATTTCATCCATTATTCGCTGAAAAATCTCCGGTGAGCATTTCAAGCCAAAAGGAAGCCTCAGCCACCTGAACCTCCCAATGAGCTTGTTGAAAGTTGTCAACAGAGATGATGCTTCGTCCAGTTCTATCTGCAAGAACCCAGATTTCACATCCAGGACTGAGAAGACTTTAGCACCCGGGATTGCGGAAACTACTTCTTCAATGGTGCGCATCGGGTAGTGCTCCCTCTTTATAGCCTTGTTTAAATCACTCGGATCAATGCAAATTCTTATCTTGCTATTCCGAATAGCTGTTACCATTGAACTCACCCACTCAGTCGGTTGGTCGACTTTGGTGATGTATCCCATTTTTACCATCTCTTGCAGTTTCTCTATTATTTTGTTTCTGAGTGCCGCTGGTTGATGGCGGACTGGATGAACTACACCTTTTGCGTTTGGGTCAATTTTAATCGTGTATTTGCCCGGCAAAGTTCCCGTAGTATGCACCAACTCTGGATAATCATCTAGCCCAGCTGGCACATTCTGTGTTTCCATTGCACCACTGGAGCATTTTTCTTTGTTTTTTAGGTTAGTTGGCTGCAATGCATCCAGCCGAATGACTAAGCCTAGTGTTTCAGCCGTT